GGAGTGGGAGCTCAGGGCCTCTGGGTGTGGAGTGGTAACAAGTAATGAGAAAGAAAGGAGAAATAAACTTGGGATAAACCACGGCTGGGAGGGGGCGAGCTGGGGATGTATCTCAGAGGCAGAGAGCAGAGCACTTGCCTCACTTATCAAGGCCATGGGCTCCATTCCTGCACACACACAGTCTGTCAGATAATAAAAGTTGTCTCTGAGGATGCTTCAGAAGTGAAATTGTGGACTGAGGACTTAGCTTAGTTAGTTAAAGGACTTACCTAGTGTGCATGAAGCTCCAGGTTCCACCTTAGCACTGAAGCAGGCATGGCAGTAAACACCCATAATCTCAGTGCTCTGGAGGGAGAAGCAGGATGAGTCATTCTCAGCTAAGCAGTTGAGTTGAGGGTAGCCTGAACTATATGAAACTCTATCTCAAAACAAAAAGAAACAACAAGAAAGGAAGGGAGGAAGGAAGGAAGGAAGGAAGGAAGGAAGGAAGGAAGGAAGGAAGGAAGGAAGGAAGGCAGTGATGGCATACACCTTTAATCCCAGCACTTGTTAGGCAGAGGCAGGTGGATCTCTGAGTTCAAGGCCAGCCTGGTCTACAGAGTGAGTTCCAAGACAGTCAGGGATACACAGTGAAACCTGGTCTTGAAAAACAAATAAAAACAAGAAAGGGGGAGAGTTAAATTGACATGCCTTCTTTCCTGTGAGGGAACCTTCCCAGGCTGATTGGAATTCCAGGCAAGGGACTCATGACAAAAGGATTTCTTTATGGGGGTGACTATCTTTAGTCCAATAGGCACTTAGACATTGCTTTCTCAGTCTGCTCCTGGTAGTCTCAGTTCAGTATGCCATTCTGGTACATTAGTTGCTGGTGTTGGTCAACTTCATGTAAGTTAGGATCATCTGGGAAGAGTGAACCTCAATTGAGAAAATGCCTTCACAAGATTGTCCCACAGGCAAATCTATGGGACATTTTATTCATTTATGATAGAAGTAGGAGGGCCTAGCCCTCTGTGGGCAGTGCCATGGGCAGGTAGTCCTGGGCTATGTAAGAGAACAGTCTGAGCAAGCCAGTAAGCAGCATTCATCTATGGCCTCTCCTGCTTAGTTCCTGCCTCCAAGTTCTTGCTTTGAGTTTCTGCCCTGACGTCCCTCAGTGACTGTGATCAGGGCATGTAAGCCAAATAAAGCCTTCCCCAAGTTGCTTTTGGTCATGGTGTTTATCATAGCAATAGAAAGCAAACTAGAACGTATGCCAAAGCACCATACTTTGGTGAGTCATTTTCCTGAATTCCAGCAAGGAGTGATAAGGTGTTGTGAGTCCCTGAAAAGGGAATTTTATGCCTTGTTCTAAAGCAACAGCTTCTGCTGCTCCTCAGGAAATATGGAGGCAGATCGGCAAAAATCCCCAAAGCTTCTCTGTTTCTTGGAAGAGTCAGTAGCCATGGATGAGGACGAAGAGCAGAGGATTAGCTAAGGTAGCAGAGTTTCTGAAACTACCAGCTGAAACAGCAGACAGCCAGGATTGGATGAACTTGTTCCCTTTCCGTGGGTTGGTGGTGGCAGGGACTACAGCTCCACACTGTCACTCACAAAAGCTTGGAGAGTTCCTTTAATCTTTTAGGGAACCTGACAGGTAAAACTTGATCCTGTCGTTCTTTCTTTCCTTCTTTCTTTCTTCTTCTTTTAAATAAGTGGGGTTTCAGCATTTTTGTTTTGTTTTTTGCTTTTGGTTTTTTTTTTTGGGGGGGGCAGACAGGGTTTCTCTGTGTGGACCAGGCTGGCCTTGAACTCCCAGAGATCTACCTGCCTCTGCCTCCAGAGTGCTGTGATTAAAGGCTTGCGACACCACTGATCGGCTTTGATCCTTTTTTTTTTTTTCAATCCAGAAAAGAATTTAAGTCTAGCTAGTATGAAGCAGAGTTGAGGTTTATTAAATAAATAAATATATATATGGAACTAGATTTAAGAAAGACACCCAGGGAAAGAATAAGACATAACCAAGTGTGTATACAGGATTCTCAAGAGTCACAATTACAAAATATCCTGGTGACTCTCAAGTTACATTAAAAGAATGCTAAGAATTTTTTTATATCCTTTACTCTCTTTCTGGTAAGTTTATAGGGTGGCTCCAGAAGTGACTGAGTTAGTCGTATAATCTAGTAGGGTTACACAGGTGGGGGAGGATTATGACAGGTCCTTCTTATTGTAAATGGGAGTTTCTAGTGAAGTTCCTAGAAACTTGTACGCTTACAGTTAGGAGGAGAGAAATGCCTTGAGTAGTTTTTAATTGTGTTGGAATCTTGATTCTTAGCTGGTAAGAAGACTTTAACCAAACTTCAGAGTGAGGGCCTCCTTTCCCATCCCATGTTCCCAAACATTTCCATTTTTCCGTCCTACCTCAATGTTTGGCCCTATGTTAATTTCCCAAGGTACTTGCAACCTGGTAAGAACCTAGAAACACCACCACCACCCCACCATGCCTGAAATCTTTTCTATAGAGGCAAACTGAAATTGGAAGAAATTTCACAAGCAAATAGCAAGCTGCAACTATTAGAAGACTCCAGGATGAGGATTCTACCAGTACGGATTCTGGAAGGAAGACTCCGGACTGAGAGGCACAGGAAGCAACCAAAGATGTAGATGAAAATGATGAGTCTGAGAAGCATCTGATGGAGAAGCAACTGCGTGAGGTGACAGATACGGGGTGAAGAAAGAATCTGAAGGCTGATTCAAGGATAGGGTGGGGGCAGAGTTTGTTTCTGAAGAAGGAATTTTAACATTAAAGGGGGGGGGGCTGTCTTATGGCATCCTTTGATGGGGCTCAAAAACAACAGCGACAACACTGGGCAGCTGAGATGGCGCAGCAATACAGGTGCTTGTTGCCAAGCCTGACAACCTGAATCCGATGGGATCCACATAGTAGGAGAGAACTGACTCCTTTCATCTCCATAGCAGTCCTGTGGTGCGCGCACCCACCCACACAAAACAAATAAATACATGTAAGTTAAACATTTAAATCTCTGTGCCTATCCCATTCACAAAGTTACCTTAGTGGTTCTAAAAAGGGCGGCGGCGGAGGGTGGGGGATTGGGGTTTCTTCCTTTCTCTACAAGTCTAAGCAAAGGTTGGAGGGGTCGGGGCGGGGGAATTGCACAACTGGAGTGAGGTTTTGCTCTCTCCCGTGGTGGATGCATTTGCCCAAGACAGTGCACCGCTAAAGTGTCCACTGAGACCTTTTGTGCCTTTTCATCACAAAAGGTTTCTCAACCCTCCAGGTGCTCTCCAGAGCCCCGCTTAAGAACTACACTTCCCGCGATGCCGCAGGAGCCGCATCCATGGCTCGGGGAAATTGTGCTGCCCTAAATGCGTGGCAAACTCGGATCAGCACCGAATCCCGAACCAAACACCGACTCTACCAACGCCACAGCTTCGACAGTTTTTTTTTTTTTTTTTTTTTTCCCTTTCCTGACAAAGGCTTCGCTTCCGTTCCAGCTCCAATTTCCGACGCCATTCTTCTCTTGGAAATGCTTGGGAGGGAAGCACACACACACACACAAGCCATAATGGGGCGAGCAAAGCGCATGCGTCCACGGTGTCCTCTCGGACAGCCCCCGCCAGTCTCCCAGCGCAATCGCCCCGCGCATGCGCAGAGTCTAAACCAACACCCCGGGAGTTGAGGCGCGGGTTTGCTGGCGCGTTTTTCAGCGAAGTCGCACGTGAAGGATAGCGGTGGCTGGAGCAGGGTGAGTGCGGCCCGAGATCTGTGGTTTGGATGCTACTTATGGGACAGATTTGCAAAGCGGCAACAGGGCGGAGCCGCGAGGCCTGTGAGCCGGATTGGGGAGGGGTCGAACGTGGAGCGTGGGGCTCAGCCAGCCTGGAACCCGAAACCTCGTTGCTATGCAACCGGGGGCGTTGTTACTAGGTAACCCAGAAGTAAAGTGTTTCCCGGAGAAAGTGGGTTCGAGCGCTGAGGTCCAGTAGAGGGAGCAGCTGCCAGATTTGGGGGTGAAGTCAGTGCTGAGCTGTACCCTAGCCCCATGGTCCAGCCTCTTACCATCCCAGTTGGAGCCCCCGTCTGGGTACCCAGATCTCATGGGCCTTGCGACGCCACTATGAAGCGCTTGGCAGGGCATGTGTTGTTCGAAATAGCACATGCCACTGACAACCTGTCGTCGGGAGTCTGGGCCTTGGGAAGGGAGCGGCAAGGCTGCCCCTCTTTGCAGTCACCCTACCCCCAAAACAGTTGCTGGCGGCAGCTGTCAGGGGTTTAGCTCCGACCTGCCAGAACGCTGACTTCATTCTCCTTAGTGGTGACTTCTCCGCGTTTAGGATCTTCCAACTCAGCTATGCTTCTCATGTGGCTGTTGTATATTTGGATTCACTATTCAAATACGCCCCCCCCCTCCAAGTCTATGGCTTACCCTTGTGGCTTCTTGGCGGGCTTCAGATATTCTTTTAGCAAGCATTAATTAGTCATTCTATGTTAGGTGCTGAGGTTTCCGAGAAAAGTTAATGTCAAGTTAGACTGAGTTGTTGCGAGGTTATGGCACAAATTGTGAACAGGGTGCTTGCACAAAGGATTCAACTTCTCAAAGCAACTCTTAACCCGGTTTCAACAGGGTTTACATTTGAAGAGATTGAAAGTCAGATAGGTTAGTTAAGTAACAGGTGTAAAGGTAGTGGCAGCTAGTTTGTGATAGAATTGAACCTATGTCCTTTGTACAGAGAGCTCTAAGGAGGCTTTGCTTAAAGTACACTTTTTCTCTGGGCTTCTAACCTTTTTGATTCTGCCTCAGGAATCCTGGGGCGCTTTAAAAACAAAACAAAACAAACAAACAAAAAGGCTGAGCTCCTCCCTGGGAGAGTCTGAGTGGGTTGCCTGGGTGGGGCAGACATCCTTGTTTAACAGGCTATGCAGGCAGTCTAGATGGGCAGTCCGGTGTTGAGGACCGCTGATCCACAGGACTGCTGTAAGTAGTGAAAGGACAGGTGGGGCCAGCAGAGGGCACCACGTTAGTTCCTGCTCTGGTAGTGATTTATATTGAGAAAGGAAAAAGAAGAGGAAGGAGTGCTGTCTGGGACCAGTGTGGACAGCCCCACCCTACCCTGGCTGAGCAAACCACAGCTGAACATATATCGACTTCTCATCACCAGAGTAAGTAAAAGCAGTTCCCCCAGCTGAGACTGCTCCTGCCTGAGCTGAATTGCAGCTGTCTGAATAGGAGTGGCCAGTCTCAGTGCTACGTTTGGCTGGTTCCTCTTACCTCCTTGGTGTATAACCTGTAAACTGAGCAGGTGGGCCATCTCCTGCTATAAGGGCTCCTCTTGAGAGATTTGGGTGTTTTCTGCTTTGAGCCTGATGGTGGTTGGTGGGACTGTATGTTCCCGAGGGCAGAGAGCAGGCATTACCAAGGCAGTACTGAAGTATGAGACAGACAAAAGGGCAAGCCTGAGCTTCTGGGCTCAGGGATCAAGTCCCCACTTCTGCTCTAAGCAAAGTGAGGCATAAATGATAACAATAAAGATAATTAAGGCTGGTAAGATGCTCCATGGGGAAAAAGCACCTGCCCGATGGGCTTGATCCCTGAGACCCACATGGCAGAAGGAGAGAACTAACTTGCTCACTTGGTCTTTGGTGTCCACACATGCACACTTGTACATACACACTGTTGTTTTGTAACTCAGTGGTGGAGTGCTTGCTTGCCTGTGCGATAGCTCTGAGTTTGATTTCCAGGTACACACACTACACACACACACACACACACACACACACACACACACTGCCATAAGAATTAAATGAGGTAGATAATAATCACTTTGTTAATTATAAATTACTATACAAACAAAACTTTGATAACATACATATTACCACTTACTATTGAGCACCTCCTAGTTGTCTGAGTAAGCAAAAAGTTTAAGACATGCTTCCATCTTTTAGAGGACAAACTGTTTGGCTCTTAATGACCATAGCATCTTTCTGCATTAATAATTTGACGAGGAGCTCAGCACTCAGGAGGCCAAGACAGGCGGATCTCTTGAGTTTGAGGCCAGCCTGGTCTACAGAGCAAGTTCTAGGACAGCTGGGAGTACAAAGAGAAACCCTGTCTCAAAAAAACAAAAACAAAAACCAATAATAATTCAGTGAAGGCTGGCATGTATCTCGATTAGTAGAGTGTTTGCCTTTATGCACAAAGACCTGGGTTCAATCTCTAGTGCAACAAATGTGTGGCACACACTTGTAAATTCAATACTTGGGGAGGTAGAAGCAAAAGGATCAGAAGTTCAAAGTCACCCTCAGATGCGTAAGGAGTTCAGGCCAGCACTGGCTACATTACACCCTGGCTTAACAACAAAATTGTAAAGGTTTTGCTGTTTTGTTTTTTTAAGATTTATTTATTATGTGTACAGTGTTCTGCCTGTGTGTATGCCTGCAGGCCAGAAGAGGGCACCAACTCTCATTGCAGATAGTTGAGCCACCCTGTGGTTGCTGGGAATTGAACTCCAGACCTTTGGAAGAGCAGGCAGTGCTCTTAACCACTGAGCCATCTCTCCAGCCCCCCCCTTTTTTTTCTGGGACTAAAGGCGTGTGCCACCAAATGCCTGACAAAAAAACTGTGAAGTTCTTAAGAAGCATGAGGAAGCACAATGGTGGTGAATAAGATTCATATTGCCTGGGTTTCTCTCAAAAAAGAAAAAGAAAAACCAAAAAGAAAAGAAAGATGGAAAGGAACTGGTAAAGAAAGCAGCTTGTCACTTGTGCTCAATACCTCTCAACAACCAGTGTTCTCCAGAACCCTGTAAGGGACATTTTCTAGAACAGTTCAGGTCACCTGGCAGAACAGTGTTGGCCTCACTGTGGAGGATTTATTTCAGGGTCCTCCAGACTGGGGCAGATGGCTACTTCAAGTTGAAGCTGGCACAGAAAACATAGCAGGCTGCCATGGGAGTTGCAGCTCACATCACCCTGACCTTCTAGCAGGGAAGAGGCGACACCTGACTCCTCTGTTGGAGGTCCTTGGATATAGGATCCAACCCAAGATAGCAACCCTGCTCTTTAAGGCCCCATCATGACCCAGATAACTCAGGAACTAGCCCATGTTTCCCATGTCTCCCACCAGTGGCAGGTGGGAGCCATCTGGCTCTTGATTTGTGCCAAAGAGTAGAAGGCATTCCCAGCCTAAGGTTCTTCCACTTGAACTATGTGTTTTGCAACTCCACTTGACCTTACAGGCCTCTGGAGGGGTGTTGGGCAGCTGTTTCTGGGCCAGAAGTTACCCCAAATGTAGTATTTTTAGAAGTCTTTTTTTGGAGCCTTCTCTGCCCAAATGGGAACATCTTCTTTTCCCTCCCTGCTATCCAGATGGCTCTAGGTTTGTGGCCAACTCTCCCAATACCCTGGCAACCACAAACACTTCAAAACCTGGCCTCTCCTCCACCTTAGAGGCTTGCCTGGGCCTTTACTCATCAGCCCTGAATCACAGAAACTCTGGAACTGCAGGGACCTTTTTTGAGCCTGAGGGAGAACAGGATTTGCTAGAGCCTTTGACATTTCTCCAGCAGCGTGGCAAAAAAAGAAGGTGCTGCAAACATTCTTCTTGCCTGCTCCTCACCTGCTTCAATAAGTTGATACTTGCTGGATCTTAGCTCATCCATGGCATCCTGTTATGAATGAGATCAGAGCAGAAAGCACAAAGTGCTTGGGTAAATTTTCACCGTATTTTCCTGAGATGGTTGGTAGATGCCAAGTGCGTTTTAGCTTATGGATAATCTATTATATGGCTTTATCAATAACTTCAAAATTGAACACAGCACAACAGAGTGGTTATGGACAAAGGAGTGCTCGATAGACGCACTTGAATTCACAGCCAGGTTTTCCCACATACTGCCTATTCTTCCTGGATTTCATCATCAGGGGTAACAATGCCTACCTGGGTAAGTACCTAGGAGGTTGAGATTAGTGCAGTGCCTGCTTTTTGTTCATGATAATCTTTCCTTCTGGGCTGTTCCTTAACCCCTTGCTTATTTTGGCAGGAAGTTGAGGTCATTTTGTGTCAATGGTGTGATATAACACACACATACCGGCACTTTGCACGAACGCTCCCCCTCAAACACACACACAAACACACATACACACACACACACACACACACACACCAGAAGTTTGATTTTCATCTGTCTTTTCTGGTCCAGAGCTCACATATCCCTTGTAATTTAATATATGGGATGATACCTTTTTTTAAATCATTAGCTGTTTGACCTGACTTTCTGCAATGTCTTGAAAAAGCTCCCTAGCTAACCACAGAATTGGCGGGGAAAATTGCCAGGGGACCAGCCATGTCTTAAAGAGTTGGTGCCTCTGAGGAGGAGAGTGGCTAATGATTGAATTGATCCCAGTGGCCCCAGATTTGGTTTATCATACTTATATAATGAAACTTCTAGGGGAATCCAGAAAAGACAGGGTTTGTAGCGCTTCCAGATTACTAAACATATAGAGAGGCCTCTGAGTGTGGTACACTGGGTAGGGCATGGAATCTCTGTACTCCTTCCCCCATCTCTTGTGCTGCCATCTTTACAGCTGGTGTACATCAATATCCTTTATAATAAACATTTGCAATTATTCAGCCAGTGAACCTAAGTGTTTCCCTGTACCAGGCTTTTTTTTTTTTGGTGTGTGTGTGGGGGCACCAACCAGGTCACAAATCATGACACAGACTTATTAGTTATGAATGCTCAACCTTATTTTATGCTTGTCCCGCTAACTCTTATAAATTAAATTATCCTGTTTGTCTTCCACTACCTTTTGCCTCAGGGCTTTTTACCTTTCTTTCTTCTGTATATCTTACTTTCACTGCTTCTCCATATGTGTCTGGCAGCTGCCTGCTTTCTGGCTCCAGTGTGTCCCTTGTTCTCTCCTTCTTCCTCTCCTGAGCCTAGATTTCTCCTCCTACATATTCTCTGCTGCCAGCCCCGCCTATCCCTTTTCTGTCTAGTTATTGAATGTTCAGCTTTCATTAGACCGATCGGGTGCCTTAGTCAGGCAAGATGCAACAGCAGCACATCTTTTCATAATTAAGCAAGTGCAGCATAAACAAAGGCAACACATCTTTGCCTAGTTAAAGTAATTTCTACATTTCCCGGAACTCTTGACTCTCATTAGCCCATTATCTGAACCCGATAAAGGGGTTGTAGGAACCTTGACTTATATCCAAACAGAGAACAGATAAAATAAGCTGGGACTTGGTGACTGGAATCTGAGGTTGTGAACACAGGTCCTGCCTCTCATTGCTTGAAAGCAAATACTCAGGAGAGAGTTGGTGGGGAGGACATCAGATTCATTCAGGGCCTATTGACCTCAAATCTCCATCTTATAGAGTGCAGATACATAAAAGGGTTTTGTAGAGAGTAAATTTGGAGTGGTGGGGGTGGTGCATGCTGAGTGGGGTCTTCTCATCCAAGGCATGCAGCTCCCTCTTTTTTTCCTTCTGGCCAGAACATCATGATAGATCTTGACTTCAACCTCCTGGGGCTAGTTCCTATAGTTCTTAGAGAGACATTACTTGTCTGTAAATTAGACTTCATAGCCATTTATTTACATGTTTCTTATTAGTTGAAGCACAGAATTAAAGAACAAGGAAGGATATTATACATCCTGACGTAATCCAAAAGTCACCAGAAGTTATGGATTCTTTAAATATAAACATTATTTAGCAGTTATCTACCTACCTGTTTTAGGGTTTGAACCCAAGGCCATGCACATACTAGGCAAGCCATCTGTCTATCATTGAGCTACCTGTCCCCGGCAACAGCTAACATTTTAATCATTATGGTACAGCTTCTCTTCATATGTTAGTAATATATCAGTGGGCAAAAGAACAGGAAACAATCTTGAAAAGGAGAACCCACCAAAGAGCGGGCACATTATATAGCTGTGTTAAACCACATGATTGGTCATGGGAATCAATTCAATCATTAGCCACCATTCTTCCCCAGAGGTTAAAGATGAAAGTCTTATCCCTCTAAAGGCGTGGCTGGTCCCGCTGGCAATTACCCCTCCAATCCTAAGTTATCTGGGGAGATCTCTAAAAATGGTCTTATTAACATAAACTGTATGTTGAAAAGGGCTGTCTTTCACCCTTCATCCTCTGAAGATGTTGCAGGAAGCTGGCTAAAAGGCTGTTTACTTTGACAAAAGGTATCTTTTCTGTTCTTTCCTTATATTAAATTATATAAGATGTGAGCTCTAAGCCAGGAAGGATAGATGAAAACCAAACTGCTGTTCTCCCTCCCTCTCTCCCTCTCTCTCTCCCTCCCTCTCTCTCTCTCTCTCTCTCTCTCTCTCTCTCTCTC